ACACTTTATTTTAAAAACTACCGGGTCCCAGTCCAGGTACCCAGAACCAGGTCTATTTTAAAAAGTTAGAATAAAAGCTTGTGAAAGTACTGAATTGTTTTCACAGAACAATTCAGTGCAAGAAATTTCACAAGATTCAAAAATTAAATTAAATATTAAAATAATAATAATAAAAGAAATAATCTTAGATAATACAAAAACCACCCACCTCTTACCCACTTTACTCTTACCTCTTACCCACTTTACTCTTACCTTTTACCCACTTACTTTTTACCAATCTTTAACCACCTCTTACCCACCCCCCTATGACCAACCATGTCATCACTTATTTATTATTAAACTTATTAAAAATTAATTTCTGAGCTATAGTTTAATTAGAAAATTTTGCAACAAATTATTGCAAGTAAAATACTTTTCAATAATGTTATCAAAAAAATGCAATTAGAAAAGATTTTGGTAAGATTGGGGAGAGGGTAAATCTGAATTTGCTGCACTTTCCCTCTGTACTTTATATTATTTGTTTTTAGATCTTTAACACGCCCGTAAACGAACTTCCAAGTGCGTCAAACAGCGCTTATAGATCAACCAAATAAATGAGCGCGATTTTTTACTCTCATAACGAAACTAGCAAGCGCTATTTGTCGCGTCCGAAAGTTTATTTATGGGCGTATTTCACATGTATATATATATATATATATATATATATATATATATATATATATATATACATGATGGCAACTTTGATGGCTATTACCTTACAGCTCCAAACTATTAATGCTTAAGTAAAAAAATTAAAAAAAAAAATCCTAAAAAAAATTCATAATGATATAATTATTTTATTATAGCCTTAAATTTTGAAAAACATGTGGAGAAATGTGACACTTTAATTATGTGTTTAAATAACCAACCAGGTAAATCTACTCGTCTAACACAGTAAAGAGATGGTCAGTGTGGAATAGACTTACTAAAACATGTATTTTACGGGTCCAGACAGCTAGTACTACTTATTATACTTTTTACAGTTAATTACCAGTAAGTCAAACACCGCTTAATTTAAACTTTTATTATCTCAAACTGTTTCATTTGGTTTCTTAAAATCATCTAACTGATTAGTAATAAAATTCTCCAGTTAAAACCTCAGATAACTAAAACTTTGTTAAATCAAACCATTTTTTCGTCCCTTTTAAACGAAATTTTTTGGATAACTCTAACTTTTTGTATGGGAATATTGACAAAAAAAAAAAAGAAGTCATTTCATATAAAGCATAAACAATTGTAGCCAAATAATTTCTTTACTTTTTAATAGAATAGATGGTTATATAACATAAAATCTTGTAAACACTGGTTTATATACAAAATGGTTTTTAGAATTTAATTTTTAGTTTGACCTCCTTACAGAATAATTCAAAATTGATCAATTATTTTTTGTAGCAAGTTCGTAATTTAATATTTTTTAAACCATATAGCAAATTAAATATTAAAAAAATATTATTAAAATATGTATTAAATTATTAGGGAAAATTTGTTAAATATTTATAAAGAAAATAAAAATTACCCTACTAACAAAATTTCAAAGTACAAGAGATTACTAGTTATTTAATAGCTTAACTCTCCTTTCAAATACCTATATTTCTGAACAAGTATTTTATATCTGTCATTTTTATATATGCATTTGATCTTTATTTTTTAAAGTTTATTTTATAAACACCAAAATTTAGTACAAAACCACAAGAAGAACAATATATGAAAGTTGTTTAACTGTCAGGCAAAAAAAAATTATGCTACAGTTTACTAGACTGTAGATTGTCTAAGTTAAGTGCATACAACCTTAAAACATAAAATACATAGGTTATATGCATGCAGGTTTGCAACATGTTTGCTCATTCAATAAGAGAACATATTGGAAACTTGTATACATTTCACAAGGACAAGGTTTATTGGTGAAAATGATAATCATACTCATCTGTCTATTCTACAAGTTTTAAAAATTTTATATCAGCTACAAGTTTACAACATGAACCCTCAACAGGGGTGACTATCAACAGCTAGGTGAAAATGAACATCAGAACCAAGTGAGGTGATAAATTGTCTTCCAGGAAAATAGTCAACTTTCCAACTCGCTTTCCTGACAACCTGAATCATTTAAATTCTCTAATTGACTTGTGTCTTGTTTCTGATCCTAGTCAGTGCTCAGTTTCTCCACATTCACCTTTAGGTGCCTAAGATCACAGCTTGATCTCTCTAAAACTATTATCTCATTCTTCTTTATCATCAGACTCCCCATATCATCATACATCTTACAACTAACTTAAAGCTGAGTGGGACTCTTTCCGAGATTTTCTTCGGGATGGCCCTTGGATAGAAATCTTTCGTCTTCCTGTTGACAAATGTGCTTCTTACATAACTTTGTAGATTCAGGCTGGCATGGAATCCTTTATTCCCTCTTGACATTTCTAGGTCAAGCCTCACTCTTTTCCATGGTTTTCCTCACATTGTGCTGTCACAATTACCAATCGAAACCATTACTTCCATATCTATCAGCAAAACAATTCTCCAGAAAAGAGACGTCTGTTTATTACTGCTAGAAACCATTGTAAAAAGGTTTTGTCTAACGCTAAAGCCCGCTATTCTCAGATCATAAAATCTCATATTTCATCTCAAAAATTAGGCTCTCATGAAATTTAGAGAATCTTAAATAATATCAATAATAAGGGCAAATCTGTAATTCCACCTCTTTTTTATGGTTCAGACTTTGTCACCTCACCTAAAGGCAAAGCTGAATTGTTTGCTAAGAACTTTTCATCAATATCATCTTTTGATTACACTTGTTGCGTTCTACCTGATATAGTCGTCAAACAGGTTGATCCATTGCAAAACATCTGTATCACTCCAGCTTCTGTATCTAAAGTGATTTCCTGCTTAGACTCTTCTACAGCTTGTGGCCCGAAAAACATAGCTGTTATATAGTCTTGCAGAAGTGTTCTCCGGTGCTGTCGTCTATCCATTCAAAACTATTCAACAAGTGCTTATCAGAGTTTTCCAGCCTGCTGGAAAGCAGCATCTGTTATCACTATTTTTAAAATTTCTGGAAAGCAATCTGATTCGTCTAACTACCGTCCTATTAGTCTTCTTCCTATCATAAGCAAGGTTTTTGAATCTTTAATTAACAAACACTTAATCTCTCATCTTGAATCTAATAACTTGCTTTCTGATCATCATTATGGATTTCGATCTTCTAGTTCTACAGCTAATTTGCTAACAGTAATAACCGATAGGTTTTATCGCGCATTAGATAAAGGTGGAGAGGTTAAGGCTATTGCTCTTGACATTTCTAAAGCGTTTGATAAAGTTTGGCATGCTGGTCTTCTCCATAATCTATCTTCTTACGGTGTATCTGGAAACATCTTTAGGATTATTGAATCCTTTCTTTCCAATCGTAGCGTAAAAGTTGTTCCTCTGGGGTTTCTCAAGGTTCTATCCTTGGCTCTATACTCTTTTTAATTTATATCAACAATCTTCCAGATATTCTCACATCTAGAGTGGCATTGTTCACTGATGATACTACTATTTATTCTTGTCACAATAAGAAGCTAACTCCCTCTGATTGCTTGCAGGTGGCATTTGAGCTTGAAAAGGATCTCACTTTTGCTACAGCATGGGGCTCACAGTGGCTGGTGAACTTTAATTCAGATAAAACTTCAATTTTTTTCAGCCAATCATTATTGCAATAATTTAGACCTTATAATTATGAACGGTAATGTACTTGATGAGCCTCCTACCCTTCATCTTCTAGGATTAACTCTTACTTCTGATCTTTCTTGGAAACCTTATATCAAATCTGTTGCAAAATTAGCATCTGCTAAACTTGCATCTCTTTATCGAGCTTGACACTTTCTTACTCTGGATTCTATTCTCTATCTCTATAAATCTCAAATCTGGCCTTGTATGGAATACTGTTGCCATATCTAGGGCGGATCTTCTAATGATGCCCTTTCTCTTTTAGACAAGGTGCAAAAACGCATTGTAAACATAGTTAGACCTGTTCTTGCAGCCAACCTTCAACCTTTATCACATCGTCATAATGTTGCTTCTCTTCCTCTTTTCTAGACAGTTTTCTTCTATAATGCAAAAATGTTTAAAAAGAGTTTATAGTCATCCTGATTGACAACAATTTACAAGATTAAAACAACAGATTACATGTTGTAAACTTGTGCAAAGTGACATGTTGAACATGTTAGTATAAAAACTAGTTAGCAACATTTATATTGTCTTACCATTTTAAATAACTCAATTGCCATAATAATTTTTCTTAGTCAAAAATATTCTAAACATGTTTTTAATTTAATGAAATATTTTAAAATAATCAACATCATTTATACTTAAAGGAGTCCCCTTGTGTTCTATAGATATAATGTGGTAGTAGACTAGTGATAAAACATTAGGCTCACATAAAGCTGAGGTTCAAATCACTTCTGTACCCTCTGAAATTACGGTGCTTAATTTGCTTCTCCACACAGCACCCTTGTTTAAAAATGTAAGTTAATAATGTTATTTGCTAAGGATTGAGAGTGAATTATAATGTTATTTTTAAAAAACCATTAAAAATACAACTGTTTTATAGTTTAATGAATTTCTAAATATAAGAGCTATTTTTTAGATGCAATTCAATTACCAAATAATAAGTAAGTCATTATGCCGCTAAATTTTTTTGAATGTTATCTTTTGATTGTACTGTGTGAATACAATCCATTGAAACATTAGTATAATGGTATAAATTCAATGTTTATACTTTAGGATTGAATAAAGAAAAAGTGCTTCAAACTAATATTAGCTAAATTTCGACTTAACAGGAATTCATTTTATAAAACCACTCATTAAGTAAAACCATTTTTTCTTGTTCCCTTGGAGATTCAAGTTATCGGAAATTAACTGTATCCACATGTTAAATTGTTATAATTTATTTCTTTTTCTTATATTCTTTAATCAATTAACAGACATACCTCTACCTCTTGTAAATCATTTCGATTTCCAAATAGATTATTTTTGTCATTTACATTAGAATCATCAACAGACTCGATCATCTTTTCTAAAAGAATATTGACATTATAAATATACAACCCTCGGAATTAGGAAAAATGAGGTCGGCAAAAATTATTTGATACAGTCTGACCATAAAACATAGAAACGTGTATATATATATATATATATATATATATATATATATATATATATATATATATATATATATATATATATATAAATATATATATATATATATATATATATATTTATATATATATATATATATATATATTTATATATATATATATATATATATATATATATATATATATATATATATTTATATATATATATATATATATATATATATATATATATATATATATATATATATTTATATATATATATTTTAAAATATATATATATATATATATTTTAAAAGTTAAAATATTTGTTTAAAATTTAAAAATACCATTGGACAAAAAATAAAAACTATAAATTTAAATTAATAACTAATTGCAATGTTTTAATATAAATAATAAAAACCGGGCTGTTTAAATCAAAATAACAGGTAGTCAACAGTCAACAACTGTCCATGATCAAAATTACTGTTTAAACTTGATCAAAACTACTGTTTAAACTTAACAAAACAAACCATTGCCAGTCAAGTTAAAAAAATTTAGTTTTAAAGTTAAAAAAATTAAGTTTAAATTTATAGTAAAAAAATATAGTTTAAAAAAATGTTTTAAGAAATAAGTTGTTACAAAACAACCAGGATGTATTTTGAAAATACTAAATGTTCATAACATTTAATATATTTTAGACAAAAATATTTTAAAAAAACATCTATAATATTTTTATTGCTTTAGATACTTTTTAGATTCACTCCAGCAAAATTAATGGTTGTCATTTATATACTTGAAAAAAGTTTTATTATTATTTTCTATTGTTAATAAAATTTGTTGTTCATTTTTTTTTCCTTTATAAAATCTTTTTAAAAAATCTTTTAAGATTTGGCAACCAACAGTAAAGGAATTGCAATGAATCAATATTACTATCTTGTTTAATAATGTAAATAAACTATAATTATCATTTATAATAATTATCAATTTTTTTTTTCATCAATCATCTTGGCTTTTTTTTCATCAATCATCTTGGCTTCCAACAAGGCTGCAAGCAACAACTATTAGAGTTGGAAGTGACTGGAAAAAAAAAAGATGAATTTTATGGGTTGACAGACGACTTGAAAGATTCCAAATTATATGAATCAGGAAAGCAAGATGAAGGAAGAAAATTCCAAAGAACTGATGTTTAAGAAAAAAAACTAGACGAATAAGAGTTTTTAAAGCACTTAGGAGCAGTCACAGAAAAAGGATAAGACTTAATTGAATGACAAGTAACACTAGAATGAACTTTAGTAGATGGCACAAGAGACGCTAGTTCTTTAGAGAAGTGTCCATTATAGTATTTGTAGAAAAGAGAAAGAGAAGCAATATTATGGCGATGTGATAAAAGTTGAAGGTTGGCTGCAAGAGCAGGTCCAACTATGTTTAAGTATATGGTACAAGAGACGTTAGCTCTTTAGAGCAGTGTCCATTATTGTATTTGTAGAAAAGAGAATAAGAAGCAACATTACAACGGCGTGAAAAATGGCTAGAGTAGAGATGTGACGCGTTTTTTTGGTTCTTGTTTTTTTTGTTTTTTTGGTTGTTTTTTTGGAAAAAAAATGCATGGGTTCGTTTTTTTGGTTATTTTGGGAAATATTTAAAAATTCATCATTTAAGCTACTAAATTCAACTTTGATGGCAATATTATTAAACATATTTTAATTTAAAATTTATATAGGAAAACTAAGGCTGAATTTGGCTAAAATTCTTTTTCTTTTGTATGTTAAAAGGTAATTTTATTGTTAATATTTAGGTTAACAGGGTTATAGCAGTCCTGTATAAAAAATTATTAGTTAATTTTATTGTCCTCTATTCAATTTTTATTGACTTTATTGTTTTTATTGACTTAACTACATTTACTTAATTTTATTTAATATTTGATATATATATATATATATATATATATATATATATATATATATATATATATATATATATATATATATATATATATAACATTATTATTATTATTTTTATTATTATTAATTTACTGTACTTACAAAGTTTTGAGTTGCAAATAAAAATTTATATGCAGTTTTTAAAGCTCTTATTAATAATCACTTATGTTCTCTATTTAATTATATTTAAATTTTAGATATTTTGCTTAACATAGTAAATTTTAATTATAAAAATGAGTAAAGCAGGCCATTCAGGGGGGAGAAACAAAACCGTAGTTGCCAATTTATTTATACCTATGAACCAAATTAGCAAAATGGAAAGAGTTAAATGTTCTATTTGCTTTGACATAATGTCGAAAAATGGAACTCGAATGACTAAACATATTGAAAAGTGTCGAAAATGTCCTGGTGAAGTAAAAAGTCTATATGCAAATAAATCAGGTCATAGTCAAAGACTCAGACAGCAAGACTCTCCTGCAGATGCTGAACCAAAAACAAAAAATCCTCGATCAGATACTTTTGGAACATCCTTTTCTGAATCAATTTGTAGAAGTAAAACACCAAGTTCCATGTTTGACAGCATGACAAAAATTGAAAAGGTGTGTAATGTATTTTTATAATTTTAAGATTTATTTTAAGAATGAACTGATATGGCTACTAACTTATTAAAAATTCATGATGAATAGATTTTAGATTTGTTTCATGATTGACTGATGTACCAGTATGACATATCTTTTGCAGGAATTGATTGATACACACCTAGCAAGAGCAATATATGCCAGTGGATCCCCACTCCATTTAGTAGAAAATAACTATTGGAAAATCTTTTTGAACAAGTTACGTCCTGCTTATAAGCTTCCGTCAAGACATGAAGTGTCAAACGTATTATTAGATAATGAATTTTCAAAGATTTCAGCAAATGTTAAAGAAATGGTAGCAACTGCAGATTATCTTGGATTGATGTGTGATGGATGGAGCAATTTAAGGTACAAAAACATTTTTTTATATAATTAGTTGATGCAATTGAAACTATATTATTTACTAAATAAACAGATCATATTTGTTTATATGCTGCTTTTTCTTTACAGAAATGAAGCAATTATTAACTTTGTAATGACATTGCCTTCTTCATCATCCATTTTGTGGAAGACATTGCCTACAGGTAAAACCATAATTCTTGTACTGTATACAATGGGTTTACTTAACAGACTGGTAAACTTTAAAAATATGCATACTATTTTATAATTAACTTTGATATAAAATTTATAACAAACGACACTGAAAACCATTTCAATAAACAGAAATAAAGTATCAGTAAATACGTTTATAATATTTATATAGTACAGTATATATAATATATCCTAAACTGTTTTGTAGGAACATCAAGCCATTCTGGTGAATATATGGCAAATGAAATAAAGAAAGTTTTAGAAGAAATAAACCCTAACAACGTTTTGGGCATTGTGACTGACAATGCTGCAAATATGAAAAATGCATGGACTCGTCTAAAAGATTGTTATCCCCATCTTCATTGCTGTAAACAGCAAATTTAAACCATGGATGCATTTCACATGGTTTAAATTTGCTGTTTACAGACTTTTTAAAATTGGCAACTTAAAGTGTTTTAATGTCACAAGCAACTGATATTGTTAAAGAGATAAAAAATTCTCATTTATCTGTTGCAGCATTTAGAGATATACAAAAAAAGTCAGCTGGTGTAGTAACATGCATTACATTGAAACTACCAGTACGAACTAGGTAATACAATAAAAGCATAAATATACAGTACATTACAAAAAATGTTGAATTATGTAACTAAATTTATTATACATTCATAAAAATAGATTTTATTTAGTAAATTACTTTAATCAAAATTTATTTAAGTTATTGCAATTTTTGTGTGTTTTATTTAAAGGTGGGGATCAACTGTAGCATGCTTAGATAGCATACAGAAAAATAAGCAACCATTAAAAACATTGGCTAAAAATATTCTTTTATCAGATATTTTCTGAAAACAGTGGGCTTAATTCAGCAACAAAAAATATTCTTTTATCAGATATTTTTTGGGACAGGGTTGAAGGTTTTTTCAAATTGCTGTCACCAATAGCTGATGCAATAAAGAAAACTGAATCAAATGCTCCCATGTTATCTACTGTTGTGAAAACTTTTCACTTCTTGGAAGATCACATTTTTAAAAATTTAACAGTTAGCCCATTCTCAAAAAAGGAAGAAGAAGAAGCCAAAAAGATCTTCAAAAAAAGAAAAGAATTCTGTTTAACAGAAATTCACTTGGCAGCCAATATACTAGATCCCAAATTTCAAGGCAGAGTCTTGACTGGAGAACAAAAGGTATTTCCTACACATAATTCATATATGATTCTTAAAATCAAATACCTTTTGCATTAAAAGTAAAATTTTTGAAAAATTTTGAATTTTTTAAAATACTATTTTCAAGTTTGAAAATACTATTTAAAATAATAAAGTAAATATAAAATTATTAAAAGAAAAATCTTTTTATAGATTGATGCATGTGAGGTGATACATAACATTGCTGCAAGTATGCCTGAAATAAACAAAGAAATTATGATGTATGATTTGGCTAATTACCAATCAAAGGGTGGTATATTTTCAAAACCCTTTATTTGGTCTGCAGTTGGAATAACTCAACCTATAAATTGGTGGAAAGGGTTGTGTTCCTTTACTGAATTATCAAAAGTTGCATCTAGAATTCTTCAGCTACCAGCTTCAAGTGCAGCATGTGAGAGAAGTTTTAGCACTTATTCTAACATTCATAGTACAAAAAGAAATCGTTTAACGACTGAAAGAGCTGGAAAACTAGTTTTCATTTCACAAAATTTAAAACTGGAAAATATTGAAAACACCAGTTATCAAAATGGTACAAGCATAACTACTCCTCCAATTAATAACTCGAGTGTAAATAAAGTTCTAAGCACTTCAACCCCTTGGTCAGAGTCTGAAGCGGTTTATATAGAAAGTGACAGTGACTTAGTTTATGAATCATTAGATGAAGATAGTCTTTATAATGATAATATACTATAAATAAACAGAATAAAACCAAAACTCTTCCAAATTATTTACCAAGAAAAATAAAAAACTTGTTTAAAAAGTCAAAAAAACCTAAAAAACACCAAAAAAACATCAAAATAACCAAAAAAACACGTTTTTTTGACCCAAAAAAACGCAAGAGGAAAAAAACTCGTTTTTTTTGCAACTCTAGGCTAGAGGTTGGCTGCAAGAGTAATAGTTGGGTGCAAGAGTAATAAAGAGGTTCAACTATGTATAATTTACACATAACAAGTGCCATTTAATGCGGTCCAAAAAAGTTCTTTAGAACAAACATCATTTAATGTGCTCTGAAAAAAGTTCTTTAGAAAAAATTACTTCAAATAATATATATATATATATATATATATATATATATATATATATATATATATATATATATATAAATATATATATATATATATATATATATATATATATATATATATATATATATATATTACTTGAAGTAAGGTGATATGAGGCAGACAACAATGCTACAACCTTGATAGTACGACAATAAGGAATAGAAGCTTTCATGCCTACCTTCATGAAAACTATGTAGGAGGTGCAAAAATACTTTTTTAAATGCTAAAAAACAAATGACAATTATATGCTAAAGGTAGCATAAGAAATATAAGATTCAAATTTTAGTGAGATGATAGCATAGTTCTAACCACCCAAAGAAGAACAAGAAGAAACTGAGCATAAGCTAGGTTTGGACAATAAGCAAACAAAGGAAGTTAAGTGATGAGATTTACCTTAAAAACAAGTCACAGAGTTAACTATATGTGTAAAAGATTGAGAAAGGCAAAAATTTTCAGCAGAAATAAGAATATTAGCTTTAATAAAACACACCAAAAATATTTATAGGGACACCGTCCATGAGCAACAAGACACTATCTATAATTTAATATTTTCCAGCTATTGATGGAATCAGCTTCTCAACATGCTACCAGAGTTTTAAAGTTGAATTTTCATTAGAAGATATGGTTACATAACTACAAAAGAAATAGTTGAATAACCACTACCAAGGAGGAACAAGCAAAAACCTATGAGTATAGTCAAAAAGATCATTAATCATTCAATGCAGAAAAGAACGTAACATAAGTTTACATCTATGCCAGCATATTAGATAAAAGAGATGCAAGGCTGATCAATAGAAATTTTTTGCTCACCCCTAAAGTCTTTGTGCAAGAGGCCATCTACAAGACAAATAATTAGATGCTGTTAACACCTACTAAAACAAATAGGTAAGCAGCTGTGGCACAGTGGTAGCGCACTTGCCTCAGAAACGTAAGATCTGTAGTTCAAACCCACCTCTGGGCAAGTTTTGCGGCATCGGCTGGGAAGGAGGCGTGAACTTCCTATTAAATGTTCTTCCGCGGTGCTCTGTGATGAGACCGTAAGAACTTTTTGGGGCACCTAAATCAACATTAAAAAAAAAAAAAGGTAAATACATTTAACACCTGTCTAAAATAAGTTTTTTAATCAAGACACTATCTCTAGCCTTTACTCAACTATGAACCTTAAGGCAGTTAACTTCTCTAAGCCTTAGCCTAGAAAAGAGAATACTTTAAGGCAGCAATTCATATGCCAGGTTGTACTAGATTAGAAGCTACCAGTAGTAAGGTGATCCTGTTTTTGACCTGAACTTACTATAACATACTAATGGATTAAGTAAAAAAAAGACTTATACTTCAAAATACTGGAATACTTTGTAAATATTAAAAATTCTGAAAGGTATTACAAATACTTGAACTTAATAACATATTAGAACATACAAAAAATTACTAGAACATATCTAAGATAACTATGCAAAAATAACTATTATAGTTTAAAAAAATTATATACAATGACAAATTTGCTACCAAAATGCCACCTTTATATTTAAAAGCATTTGAATAATTGTGAAAGTACTTGACATTGTTTTTTTTTACTAAATCACAAAAAATAACAAATTTGAAGTGTAATACTTTATATTTATAGATGTTATTTATTTTATTTTTATAAACTTGTTAGGCAGGTTTTTTAAAAATTGAGAATCCTGCCTAACGCAATAAATTCAAAATTAAACTAAAAAACTAGTTTATTTTTGAAGTACAACCACTTCTAATTTCTAAGATTGAAAAATGGCACTATGAGTTAGGGGAATATCTCTGTATAACTGTTTGAAACAATTTTTAATAGAATAAGTTAATACGCACTTTGCTAACCTGATGTTTTATATTTATATTACATGCATTTAGAGATGACCTTAAAAGAATTTATTATTAATATTGTTATTTTTAGTTTTTCTTACGTATTTTATCAAGTTAATTACAAACATAAGTTGATAACTCTTAAACTAAAAAGTGTTTTGAAACATCTGCCTTGTAATAATTATATAATTCACTAGTTTATTTTATTTTAAAAGTGAAAATTACCATTTATTTTAGTGTGATTTTTTTTTAAAGGCAATAAGCACAAAAATCAACCTTATTTTATGTTCGTAGCGCAGTTAAAGAGTATTTAGATACACACTTCTGCCAAAAGATGCAGTTGTAGTAAAAATAGACATGGACCTTTTTTTATTCATTAACAGTGGTAAGTTATTTATTATAACTATTCAACTAGTCAATGACTTATTTAATTTAAATATTTGTTAACCACAAATCTTTTTAGCATTTTGAAAAGATGCAAAAATTGGTTTTGCAACTTTACAAGGGATAGTAATAGTTTTAAGGAATTTTGTAATGAACTCTGTGTATGCATTGCACCAATCTTCCCCGTCTTTCCACCATCAAGTCCTACTCCAAGATAATTTGATAATTCATCACTTGAGCACATAAGTAATTTATCACAACTAAATAACAAGCCTTTATTTTCTGAACATTCTATTAACAATGTACAGAATTGGCATGAATTAAGAGGAGAAATGAGCCCTAGAAAAAAGGTTTGAATACCAGATTGTCTTATTTAACTTCTCAGCTTGCTGTCACATCCAGCATGCATTGAAAAAAAAATTAGCAATAGTGAGGACAAAATTGAAAAGCATGCCATACAAGTTGAAAGTGCTGAGACAAAGCATTACATGAAAGAAACAAATTTTTAAAGTTTTGAGAGCTGAAATTAGAGATTATAAACAAAAGTTGCAAACAGTACATTACAGTAAGATAATAAGCAATCTTAAAGCTTAAAAAAAAGACAATAAAAATTTAAGAACTTTAAAAACTAAAATAAGTTAAAGTATTAAGGCAAATAAAATACTTAGGATGCAAAGAAAAGTACTAGTATATCAAGTCCTTTTTGAAAAAGATATTTTTCTAGCATAAGTTATAAGAGAAGTAAAAGAAAAAGAGTTTTTTTCAGACATGGTATCAGAACTTTTTACCAATTAGTTTTTGGTTTGCATGTTTTATAATGACCAAGTTGCAAATACTTAGTGCATGGCAAGTAATGAATATTTTAATCTTGTGATTTATCATAAAAATATATGAGGGTAAAAATA